GGATTGGATATTAACGAGACTAGCCTAAGGTATTTTATTTTTTTTCCCTTTTTTTTTTCTTTTGCCCTTTTCTCTCTTTTTGTTTCCTTGGCATACTTCCTGCTGGATTCACAAGCAAGAAAGTGTAGCCGTACTTATGAGCTTTTCGTTAGCGCGCATGCAGACCTTGGTTTACGATTCTGGCACCTGGCTCTCATTTTCACGGAGACCGAAGTGTTCCAAGAGAGAGTATTTTGCCGCAATGCAATACTAGCTCTTTTTCGGAATAGATCTTGATAACGAGGACGATGTAATATAGACACATGTTGTTTGTAATGGAAATATATCGATAATTTTCAGACATATTATATCTTTATATCTTTAATCTTATCTTAACTATCATAACTATTATTTTATTATAAGTATTATGATTGCATATAAATTGTATCATATAATTTAATTCTTGATTTCCTAAAAAAAATTGAAGCTAACTCGTAGTATATTTAAAAATTATATTTTTTATTGACTCACACTATCTTTTGTAAATAAAAAATATTTTATAATAAAATATAATGAATTAATTTACAGATTACTTATTAAGTATAAGTATTAATTAATTTTTTTTATTTCTAATGATTGTAATGATTGTTTTTAAATTTTAAATGCGTTGGTTTTAAAATAAGATTACTTGATTTTCAAAAATTTTTATCTAAATTTGGAAATAATTAAAAATGAGATTTGAACGAAGAAATATTTTTTATATAGGATATTTCGGACTTGAATTTTTATTTATGTAACTTTATATAACTTTTAATTTATATCAGATTTATTTTCTAATGATACATGTCAATTACTAAACCTTTTTTTATAAATAAAAAAAGTTTATATCTCTTACAACAAATAGGATATTATAAGGACTATTTATTATGGCAACAATGACGGAACATTTCGGAAAAGTCGAAGAGATTATATTTTATATGCATAGAGATTATATTTTATATGCATATTATACAATTCGACATTGGTTTAAAATATATATCGAATTTAATTACAAAATGAATCAACTATACTGAAATTTGCGGAAAAATAGTCAGAAATAATAAATACAAAGATATAGTATATTGACCAAATATAAATGTTCGTTTATATGCTCGCGAGAATTTATTTTTTAATGAAACGATCAATATATTGACTAATAATTAAGCAAATTTGATTGATACAAATATATTATTGTTGAGTATTTTTAAAAATGTTTCACTACTTAAAATTCAATTTTAATACAATTTTTATAAAACAATATATGTGATTATGAAAAACTAATGTGATTGTAAAAAAAAAACGATACTTATAGTTATTTGTTTATATTATTATTTTCTAAATAATATATAAAAAAATTATTAATATTATTCAGTGTTTAAAATTTAAAACAAGCATGTTCTTTTATATTTGATTTTTTAATAACAAAGATACTCAGTTTTCTAAGACTTATAGTAAAAATATCGTGAGCATACGTGAATTTCCGTTCTTATCTGAACGTTGCGATGTGATGTAAGATTCATTCGCGATATCGCATTCGCGATATTTGGCTCAAAGAGGTGAAAGGCTAGCCGAGTGTGCCGACAACAACGTCCACTTGCCGAAGAAAGTACGTACCTCGCAGTCACCTTAGATTCATGAAATAAATTCCTCAATAAATCATTAACTTGTATGTTTGACGGCTCTCATAACTTTACGATAACTTTTCTCTGTGCGAAAGGTTTCGTCCAGGCTAATATTTCTTCCGACGTCTTACCAACGGTAAACTTTATCCAACCAGTGCAACTCTCAGAGCATTGTACACGGTCAGTACGGATCGCGGAAAACGATATGGCCGCGTTCCCCAAGGAAAACAGCTAATGTCGCGATTATGCGTTTCGTTTCTCTTAAAATATTACTGCTCTTAAAAACAGAATTAATCATTAATGCCAAAAACTCGGCGCGTATAGAATCTTTACGAACGAATATATATAATTTGTGAGAAACATAAAATTGAACAAAAATACACAGAAAGAATAGTTTTGCTGAAGTATTTAAAAATTTGGCAAGATATAGATTTGAAAAATAATTTTGTTGGAATCGAAATTGGAACATTTAAATATGATGATAATATTATAATTATTTTATTCTAGTCTTTATATTTCCAATTTGAACAAAATTATTTTTAGAGCTGTATCTAGCCAATTTTTAGATCTTTCAACAAAACTATTCTTTCCATGCCGTTCCCAATATTCCGATTTAATTTTTCATCATATCTAAGAGATGTATTTTTTCCAGATAACGTAAATAATTTTTCTTGCATATTTTCTTGCAT